TATCTTCTAAAATTCTGGCCCTCTCTTAAAATTCATACATCATTTTAATCCTTTAGTCCATTGTGTAAAATGACAAATCTGTTATCCACAAAGGAAGACTAATAACGATGCCTTGGCAGCTTCATTTATTTTTTTAATCACCTCTGACTATCCATAATAATATAATTAAAAATGTATCAAAGCCAAAAATATATAATAAAAATCTCAACCAGCCCCTACTATTCTCATTCAATCCTGGGGGGTAGGGAGGGAAATGCAGCACTAAAAAACAACCTCTGATGGAGGCAGAAGTGGGGAATGTAGAGAACTAGTTTCATCTTAAGAAAAGAAGTTAAAATTGCTGAGATGAAAAGAAATGTGGCTTATTTTGCAGTAAGCATAGAGAACAAGATAGTTTTCTTTGTTCCTTCCCCTCAAACCCTTCCTGTCTTCCCCATCCCCCTTAGAAGATCAACAGGAAGGTGCCTTATAGGGGAGGTATACACATTGCTCAAAGCTCACCTTTACAGCCTGCTGATTGTCGTCTATTTTTATGGCCCAAATGTACAGCGTCAACTTCCTCCCTCCTCTCCACATAAAAAATAGATGGAAAAAAACCCATAACAAACCCTGTGAGGAGGGGACTTAAATCTTTGACTGGTAACACTAAGGCGGCCTCTTTCTGCTTCAGTGGACTAAGTCAGCTGGCCAGAGGGGCTGAGAAGTGAGTTAAGCCAGGGAACTTATTGAAAACTGGTCAGCAGACAGAGAGGAGAGGGGGAGCAGCAAGGACACAAAGAAGGGGAAGGTTGGTGGGTGTGGAGCTGGAGGAGTCCACATTGGTTAATATGTAAAGATCTGTTTGAGGGCAGGAGCCATGATACTGCACGTCTTCACCTTGGTTCCAAATATTAAATGAAAAGGACAAACATGAAACAAAACAAAACCCACCAAAGAGCAGAGAAAAGGATCAGGAGAGACATTTCCTTTCCAAATGGGCTTAAACAGTTAAATGGATCCTGGCAATTAAAAAAATTATAATTAGATTGTGACTCTATGGGCAAGAGAGTGGAAGCATATCTCAGTACACTTAGTAACAAAATGTGCTCAGTTATAAAAGCAGTGTGCTCTCAATTAGCAGGTATATTTCAAGTGGCTCAAAAAAAATTAATGGAATAAAAATTTGCAGCTGATGAGTTAGATTTAGTCAGCAAAAGTGATTTTGCATTGGGCTCCATTAGAGCCTGTAATCCTAAGTCCCATTCTCAGTCCCACCATCACTTGAGCCTCTATCAACAGATTTTTATTTAAGCCAATGCATTTAGAGCACAATTCCATGGCGAATAACCTTTAAGGTTACATTTGCCTTTTCCCTGCTTCTTGCAAACAGTGCGTAATCCACGAGCACATTTGTTGGCTGTAAAGGTGTACAACAGCAATTTTTGCAATGACAGTGCAGAGAGGGAATATGAGATCTGTGTGCTAATGAGCTGACACTGCAGAGGCTGGGGCGATGTAGTGTGCAGTGCACTACAAGTGCACAGCAGCAAGACACAGGAGGGGACTTCAAGGGAATTGGAGGCATTTCCTGAGGAAACAGGGCAGTGAAGCCACACCAATAGTATCTAGCAGTCCCTAGGTGTTTCCACATCTTCCAAAGCCCTAAAACGATTAACTCTGTTTTTCAAAGAACAGACATGTAATTTTAAATGTATGCACATTTCTTATCATATATACTGATTGTGTGTATATGAGTATATACTGATTATGTGTATATGAGTGCCTGTGTGTGGTTATGAATGTATGTCTTCTGAAATCATAATATTCACACCATCCTTTCTTCTGGTATTATCTAGCTAAATTGAAAAGGAAGGCAGCAAACTCAGTTAATCCCTGTGAAATGGGAACATGTGTTCCAAATCAGATAAGTCTCCTTGGTAAACTTCAATTCACCTTTGAGCTGAGATCCCAAATGAACTACCTTTCAAAGCCAGAGTGGCCTCTTAAGACACAGAATGAAGTTTGAGTCTCTCTTTAGCAAACCTCTTGGGGGGTATGCAAAAAAAATATTGGTTACTGGTGAAGATGAGTCTTTAAATAGCTGATGCCTGGGATTCATTGCAAGGAAACCTTCTGTATACACTGGGGGAAAAGATGCAGAGGAAGAACAGAGATCAGGGACACAAGGAAGGCATTATCTTTTATTTATTTTTTGGGTATTTGTTTACCTGCATAAGTATAACATCAAAAGTTTGTGCTGCCTCAGGATTGATGGTGCAGAAAGATCATGGGAAGAAACCAATTCTAGTTTTAGGGGAAACTGAAACTAGAAATTCTGAATAGGAGCAGGGGGAAGTTTCTTTAATTTTTGCTATCCTATTCCATATTGAAACAGATATGAGACATAGGTGTCCAGATTTGGACTTCTCTGTTTTTTTAAATTATCCCTATGTCTCCAGGGAGAGGCATGCCAGAGGATCCAGGGGTCTTTTTCTCTGCACAATAGTGCAATCTATTGGAAAAATAGAACCTGGGATCACCTGCTAGGCTCCAGTACTGAACTAGTATTGTTGCTGACATCAGATATGTGATCTTCACTTCCATAATAAAAAGAATAATTAAGTCCAGGGGAGAAATGAGATACACTTCCAGGGCTTTCCTGGCCCTGTGAAATGATTGTTTTCTGCATCCAGAAACTAGTCATCTTTTCATACTAAGCTTCTTGGCAGAAGCTGCCCAGAGACAGCTTTGAGATTAGGCCCCCATTCAATGATTGTGACATTCAGAGAAGACTGTTTCCAGGACCACAAAAGATGACAGTTTTCTTCCTCTGTCTTCTGAGCTGTAAAGCCTGAGAATGCAACAGGCAACTGGGTACACATCACTGGTTTCTAGATATTTCTCCTGTGTGTGTCAGTGTGTGCATGTAAGTGTATTTGGCATAATTAAAGGCAAGGTCACCTTTTTTTTGTCTTTCTTGATGCTCAGTGAGCCACACCTCTTTTCCCACATTTTCAAGCCCCAAACCATAACCCAGCCTTATAAACTTGCTAGTGGAGGTGCTGTGGAATTAAGGTGTGTGTGAGTGTGAGGGGATCAATTTGTTTTCTTTGCATGGTTGTTCTTTCTATTGCCTTGACGGGTAAGGCATTAAGGCAACACAACATCAAATGGATAACTTACTGCCTGTTCTCAAACCTGAGCTTTTCATATGGCAATGATCATTTCCTGATTGCTCCTTGAGTAGGGTTCCAGTGGCCCTGAGCTGGTGGGAGTCAATTTTATTTGACCATAAAATACAGAACTAAAAACCTTGGAAATCAATCATTTCTGAGAAGTCAATTGGCACTCTTATTCCAGTCCTCATCAGAGGAAAGATGAAGTCACTAAATATTTCAACACTAAAGTCAGTTGAAATATTATTTGTAATTAACAACAATAAATCCTGGTAATTTCATACATTTGGTCTTAAATCTATTCTAATTGATACTTAGAAAGCTGCATCTGAGCATCAGCCCCCTTGACAAGAACGCAGAGCTGCAAGGTTAAGAGTCAGCTGTGTGTTGTAAGTGCTATAGAGACAGGCTGGGATTACTGAAATAAGATGCAAAGTATAGACAGACATTTTGTAACTTTTACTCTTAGCTGGAATTAATAAGTTCCTATTTTTGTCATTGTCAGAAAGGCAAAGAATGTCAAATACAGAGTATCTCAGCACATGTTCATATAAGGATCTTTACCTTCAGCTAAAATTTTCTTAAAGGTGAAAATCACATTTCTTGCAAAGTACTTCACCCCCATATCCTTGACCTATGTCTTCAAATCCAAAGAACCTGTGCCTTTGGAGACCCTTTCAACAGTTTTTGGAAATGTTTGAGGCAGAAGAACTTCAAGAAATTATTATATAAAATTTCACACAACCGAACATAAATTTCTTCCCTGAATGAAAGTCAGAAAATGAAAATTGCAAACTATATAGGCCATAAAAGCAAAACATATTTATGCCATTATTGGCCTCACTGTTGTGAAAACTTTTAGTGAAATAAGCTTAGATGAAGAACTGTTGGTCTTCCTCATAAAACATTCCATTCAAGAAAAACCTGTGTCCAACAGGCTGTCATTTGTGTTCCTGTGGTTTTACTTCTCAAAATGTCCCCTTTCCAGAGGAACCATCACTGGGGCACAACTAGGTATTTCAGAAATGGCTTTGGGACTGATGAAATTCCTCCTTTTTGATATTCAGTTTCCCTGCTGCAAGCCTTCCCCCTCCATCTTTTGCTCTGAATTAAGAGCATATTGTCCTTAACAATGATGGGGTGAACAACACTAGGGGAGACAAAACAAAAACAGCTTTCCAAACAGTTACCTAAGCACTGTCTTCTCCCTTCCTTTCAGTTTGCCTAGCACTGATCACTTGTAATCAGTTTAGTAGTCTTATCAGTTCCTATCAGAGCTCTCTCAGTAAGAAAGGTGATATTCTAGGACAGAAAGAGGCCAGGGAGCCCAGCCTGAGCTGTCCTTCAAGGTCACTTGTTTGCAGAATTTTTCATACTTCGCTCTTATCTATTAGGCAATTGTCAAATTCAGCTCATTTCTACAGCTAGGCACTAGATTTAACAGTCCAATAATGTACATCCTAAATTGACTCAATCAAGAGGCTTCTTTTATTTTAATCCCATCTGAAGAAATTTCCCTGAACAATCATGCGACTTTTTTCTTTCCTTTTTTTCAGCCAAAAAAAAGGTGTGGGGGAGGGAATGCCAGTTTAGCAGGGAGGAAAATGAAACTTTTGCATCAAACATTATTCACGACAGAGTTTTGTGCAATGCCTGAAGTCCCTCCCACAGCAGGATCCTCCCGAGTTGATTTATGCCGCATGAAACCTGGATTGACTAGAGCCTCTACAATGTTTACTGAGGCAATCACCCCTCCCCCGCACATATGCAGACCCCCAAGCCCCACAAGCAAAATGCAAATGAGGTCCCCAAGATCCCAAAGGGAGGAAAAGCAGATCTACTTACAAGCATTAGTCACAGAAAAACTATTGGAGGAATCCAAGTGATCTACGTGGTAATTCAAATGGAAGGGCTTCTCAGTGGTGTTCTGGTTGGTGTTGTATAACTGCACGGCAAAGCGGAAAGCGCTGTGCTCCTGCACCGTGTTTCTCATGAAAAGTCCACCTATAAGCAAAGGGAACCGAGATTTGGCTTGCGTCCCCCCAGGACGGGTTAGAAATTGGGGAGCACTGCAGATACGAGATATCTCTCAATGGTACAGTGTGAAATTATGATTGATTTTCAACCTGTGTGTCTTTCAAGACTCTTGTGAACTCAGATTCTGGCCAAGAGAAACCTGATTTTCCTCTAGATTGAAGGAGAGGAGAGGCTGGAGAGAAGGGGAAAGAGGGAAGAGGGGGCTGCTTTGGAGTAGAACAACGGAACCAAGAGTGGGACTTGGCTCTTTCTCAGGCAATAGCTTCCTCTCCACTGCCCCCACTACCGACTCACATTTCTACAAGCTGGTTCATCTTTTCCTGGCACAAAAGGAAAGGTTGGGAAGAAAAACAAGTTCATTATCCCTGCTGCCCCATCCTGTTCCCCATAGCCAACTCCCCACCCCCGACATGACAATACAGGGATTTGGTTCAGTAATGGCAAAACAGTTCTAACTTCTCGACTTGTAAATACAGAAAGAAGCTGAAAGAACTCCCTCTCAGCGCCAGGGAGCCGGGCTTCAGACAGACACAGCGGCAATTCATGAATTCGTGGTCTGCGTGACTTCACCGCTTCCTGGCTCAGCTCCTTGTCTCTCCCCAGCCTCCTACTTCATCCGCTACCCACCCCGACTCCGGTTGATGCCAGAGTCTGGGCGAACCAGAGTGGGTTTCCACCTCCCCCAGCACTAGCCTGTCTCCGGGGAATCAGAAACGCGGGACAGGGCGCACCGGGCCGGGTTATGCGCCCTGGCGCGGCCAGACAGGCAGGATCACCCTGGGACAACTTCCAGCGGCGGCACACACGCCATGGCAAAGTCCAGAGCAGCAAGCGGAAAAGCCACGACTCTTCGCCCCTTTGCAGCCTCCCAGCCCCCTGCATGCCTCCACTGATCCCCTCATCTTGGAAAACCCGCAGTCCACTCCCCTCTCCAGCCCCAGGAGACCCCTCTCTTGTGCCTGATGCTCCCCAGACCGGCTAGCTCTTTGGAGCTCAAACCCCCACGATTCCTGCAAGGTTCCGGTCCTCAGTCCCTTCCCCAGGCCATGCAGGACAGGGACCGCGGCCGCAGCAGCCACGCCAGGGCAGTGATCTAGGATGCAGGAGAGTCTGGCCCGACAGGGCTCGCTAGCTCAAGCTTACCTATGCTGATGGTGTTGGGGAATCCTCCGTGAGAATGACCCAAAAGCCCCAGGACTAAAAAGAAGACCGCCCGGAGCACGCTTTGTCCCATTTTCTTCTGCCTGGCCATGCTATGCCTAAAAGGAAGCTGACAAGAGCATGGGCACAACTCGGGACTCGTCAAAATAATAATAGAAAAAGAAAAGGAATTTGCTGGCTCTAACACCCCCTCCCTTCAACTTGTTCTCCCTCACTCTTCCTTTCCACACTACACTAGTCTTCCTCCTCCACCTCTTCTCTCTCTCTCTCTCTCTCTCTCTCTCTCTCTCTCTCTCTGTCTCTCTCTCTCTCTCTCTCCTCCCTCTGGCTCCCAGGCGCTTTCACACCCCAACCCTGCCCCCCACCTCACTTCTGTCTTCACACCAATCTGGAAGGCGGGTTCACTGGCTGCAGGCTCGATTCGCCAAAGCGATCTCTCTCCCTATCACAGAGCGAGAGCGAGAGCGAGAGCGAGCGAGCGAGCGAGCGAGAGAGAGAGAGAGAGAGAGAGAGAGAGAGAGAGAGAGAGGAAGAGGGGGAGAGAGCGAGAAATAAAATTATAAAGAAAATCCGAGACTTTTCTCCTCCAGAAGATGGTGGATCTAAAGAGGGGGAAAAAAGAAAGATCGAAAAGGCTCAGCGCCTGTGAATTGGGCTCTTCCAATTGGGCGGGTAGGGGGATATTGATCAAAGTTGATCTGACGTGGAATTAAAGCCGCACACCGCTTAGTTCTACTGCAAACTGCAGCCCCCAACTGCAAAGCCTCAGAGGCGCGGCGCTGGTGTTTGTCAACAACGAAGATGGCATTAATAGAAATACAGTAGTCCTCACGTGGACCAGCCTTTGAAGCTGCAACCGGCCCTTTAAAAAAAGAAAAGAAAGAAGGAAAGAAAAAAAAAAGAAAGGAAGGAAGGAAGGAAGGAAGGAAGGAAGGGAGAAGCTGCATTGTCTCTGCATTTGTATGTCCGTCTTAAAGAAGGGGGTCTGGGGCGGGGGCGGTTAGTGGTTACTCAGGAGTCTTTGTAGGGACTAGGAGAAGACTAAGAAGCAGTTCCCATCACAATGCGCCCAAAGATGCTGCGCATGCCTGGTCCCTGACGCTCGGTTTTTACAGCAGAGATCTGAGGGCCAGTGAACAACTCCCCAACCCCGACAGCTCCGGGAGACGAGTACCACCCCTTCCAAAGTGCAGAGGCCAGTGATGAGCAGTGTGGGGCTTACTGCATTGGAGGAGGTAGAAAATTATGTGCCTGGACGTGGTAACTAAAAGGTTAATGAAAAGGATGCAGGGTCCCACCTACGAAGGAGGAGAGAGATGTGAGAATGAGCTGAGATGAGGTGGAAATTGAAAGCTAAGGTTGGAAGAAACTATCTTTAGCTGCCTTGTTTTCTTGGTATTGCCTATGGACATGGTAGCTTAGGCCCCTGACTGATGACCCCAAAAGGTTATCAATTCATTCTCTGCCACTCTTCGTTTACTCTCAGCGCTAGGGGAGGAAAGAATCTTCCAAGTCAGAAAGTGCAGCTGGATCTCACTGGGGAGTGGTCCCCTCTATAACATCTTGGGGATGAACCTTTTGGACTATAAACTCTTCTTCCTAGCCCCTTTCTCCAGTGGTGAGAAAAAAGCAGCCTCTTTATCTTCCAAGTCTTTCACTCCAACACCAGCTACTCTGGAAGAGACAGGTTTTATCCCTCCGTACACCAGCTATTATTTTCATATCTTCTCCTCCTGGTCTAACTGGAAAAGTAATCTGCTGCCAGTGTACAGCAAGTTGGTACACATGAGGCAGGTAATATGGGGCAGGGCCCAGGGGCCCAATTGGTACACCAATTACTCCAGAACTTTGGATTGGGCATGACATAGGTTGGAGCCTATAGCAGAAAGTTTCCAAGCACTTAGGCAATCAGAAAAATGGTTCTAGGCTCTTCCTAATTTTCTATCCATTTGATAATGCAAAATATATTCCTACATCACCACCCATGAAAATATTTTGTTTTCATTTGCTAGTCCATGGCTAGAAGTGAGGGGGAAACCTGAGAGTCATAGGAGACTGAACTTGCAAGTGGTTGGAGCATTGGGGCAAAGGAGGTAGCAAAAATTAGGTTGGCCACCCCTTGACAAACGTGAGGAGTGAGATAGCATGATTCAGAAACAGAGGCTTAGGAAGCAGGTCCAGGTTCAAGTCTATATTCTATCACATATTCTATTACATATAGGCAGTGTGTGACCTTGAGTGACTTTCTTAACCTGAACCCCAGTTTTCACATCTGCAAAATGGGAGTATTAATATTTCTTTCCCTATAAAGTGATTGTGGATTAAATAAGGATTAAATAAAATAGTAGATGTGAAAGCATCTAATTCAGTGCCTAACTAACAGAAGAATCAATAAATGTTAATTTCCAAACTCCCGTTCCTCTTTCTCAATTTTTAAAAGTGCCCTTCTCTCCCCTCTAAGCTCCTCATGCTGTCATCCTCCCCTTTCTCCACTATCTCCCAAACCTCAGACTCTGCTACCAAGTCTTTGCCAGTGTTTCACATCGACATCGTTCCATCATAACTCCTCAAGAGCACTAGGAGACAGGAGAGAATCTGGTAGATGATTTTTACTAAGGTTCTAATGACACGCAGTGACAAATTGATATTAAAAATGACACATTTAGAGGCACTAAATGTTCCTCTTTTTAGATAACATAGTTGCATTTTAATAGGAAACGTTGATGCTTTGACCCAAAGGAATAATTTCAATAGGGAGTTTCAGTTTTGATTTCAGATGGGTGGACAATACATTTTGGAAGGAGGCAGATGGCTCCCGAAGGAATCTAGGTCCCCATCCATGTTTGGCCAGCCATGAGAAGAGGTAGACAGAGAGATTGTGGCCTTCTTCACTGTCATTTGGCTTGAAAAGTAATGGGGTGGGTCAGTAACAAAAGATAAGAGAAAGAAAGGATTTTCAGTGCCTTTGCACTTGAAAATCCCCATTTGAATTCATCATTGTAAATGACACCCATCCCTTCTGTTATTAGACTCCCCTGCCAACTACCTTTTTCCTTTCATTTATTTGCTGCCTGCCACTCTTTCAACTTTTATCTGTCAGTGACAACACTTGGCGGAATTGGACTAATTCCATCTAAGCCATCAGGGACATAGTGGCAGAGTAGGCATATTGCTGTTGGTTGAAAAGCCTGTATAATACATGCAAATTCTTTAACAATTGATCCTTTACCCAAGAAAGCAGTGAGCAACTTTTTGAACTTCATCTTTTGTTTCCCAATGAGGAGCTAGAAATTTTACTAGCAGCATCATAGCCACCAGAAGTTGCCAATGAAGCCCCAAATCTAGCTCTCCCTCTGTAGTTAAGAGGTATTCCTGATGAACTCAGGATTACCTGATAGTCTTAGGACCATGGTTTGCACTTTCAAATGAGCTCTATGATACACTTTAAGTAGCAATAAAATAACTAATTTGGGTTCTTATTGAGAAGTTGTTTTGTATTCTTTCATGAGATGGTTAGCCAGACTACAAGAGGGGACACAGGAGAGGTGCAGGAAAACAAATTTGATTATATTTACAGGTTTTAGAGAAAGCAGAGTTACCATATGCCATGAAGGGGGAAAACTAAGTGAGAGGGCTCAACCAAGCAGGTGGAGATGAGAGAGAGAGAGAGAAAGAGAGAGAGAGAGAGAGAGAGAGAGAGAGAGAGAGAGAGAGAGAGAGAGAGAGACCCATGGTCAACTGCCTTTATTGGGGGTCAGGATAGAGTACACAAGCAAAAGGCAGGAGATAATTTTATTGGTGCATTTGAATGTCATTAGGTTGTAGTGAGGGGAAGGCAAGAAGGGCATCTTGTAGAAGGGTAAACCTGGTCACCTTGGTGGGGTGCTTACAGCCTGTTGGCAGGGATGTTGAGGCAGCAGGAAAATATGAAGTTTTAAGATTTATAATAAAAAAGTGAAAATAGGACTTCTCTTAATGAAGTCTCTGTTTATTTCAGGCTTTGGATAAGGGCATTTGTGTAAGCAGAAAGAAATGTTGGCCAGCTGAGTTTGGAGAGGGGATCTATACCATACACTGAGCTTCATACTTGCTAATTTGATACCTTGCAAATAAAAAAAATAGCAACATAAATCACCCTGATTCATTGGAAGGAAACTGCTAATCCCTTAAAGGTAATGAAACCAAGATACTACAGACATACCTCAGAGATATTGTGGATCTGGTACCAGACTACCACAATAAAGCGAGTATTGCAATATAGCGAGTTGTAATCTTTTAGCTTGTGGAGGGTCTTGCCTTCAATTTGTAAAAAAACACATTTGTGGGAGAAGGGATCCAAGATGGCAGAGTAGATAAATGCTGTGCTTGCTCATCCAGTGCAAACATCAAAATTATAACTAAATTATAAAATAATCAACGCAGAGAACCATCTGAAATCTAGCTGTCTAGAAGTTTAATAACTAAGGGTATAAAGAAGAAGCCATGTCAAGAGTGGTAAGAGGGGCAGAGACACGAAATGGGATGGCCCCAATGTTCCATGTGGCAGATGAAAATTGGGAAGGATATCTAAGCCACTGAGATTTCCTACAGAGGAGCAAGGGACCACAGCCTTACCTTAGGCTCCCCAGCCAGGAGTGCTGGTACTGGGAAGAGGAGTCCTTACAACATCTGCCTGTGAAAAACAGTGGAGATTCTGACCTTCTGGGTGGGATGGAAGGCTGTGAGAAACCACACAGACTCACTAGCGGTCATTCACCCTGTGCTCCAGTGGAGGGACAGTGACATGGGGGACGTCAGAGTCATAGGGGGAAAGACTGAGTTGTGTGGCTGCAGGGAGAGGACTGGAGGGACAAAAACTCCTCCCTTGCAGCCAGAAGGGGGTGTCTTCTTTCTTGTGTTGAGCCCTCCCTCATGCCCCTGGCCAAATCTGAATCTGAATTGATCTGGTGAGCTCCACTTGCTCCACTCTGGTGACTTACTTAGATCCCGTCACACCCAACTCTGTACCACATGAGGCTTTATCACCAGCTGAACATCAGAGGACCTGGCAGCAGGTCTCAGAATGTCCTGGATTTTTTTAGAGCTACCGCAGACCCAGTACTCTTCACAGTGTGGTCTCTCTCATAGGTCTCCATGCCCAGCTCAGGCAGCAAGCAGCCATGGATTTCTTTGTGGCTTCTACCACGTAGTCCTTGGCAGGTCACAGGCAGTGACTGACCTGGGTCTGCACCACAGCACCTCTCAAGAGGCCCCAGTACCAACATACTTGGAGCTAAACTTCAGACCAGTGCAGAGCACCACCTCATTAC